CAGCAGCAGCAGCAGCAGCAGCAGGTCCACCAGCTGCCCTCGCAGAAGATGAAGTGATGGAGCACCCACAGAGCTCTGACTCCCCATGGCGCCCTGCTGAGACCCCTCCGTGTGCCTTCACCCCCTGAGGGACACCACTGCTGTCCCCACTGCTGTTCCATGAGGCTGTGCTTCAGCCTGGGTGCCAACAGCACAATAAAGCATGATGTGTCCCAGAGCTCTCCTGTCTCTGTGTCTCCTTAAGCTCCCCATCCTCATTTCCCATGTGTGTTCATGCCATGCATGGGCTGCCTTTCTCTCCTTCAGCCCTTGTGATGCTCTGGCTGCAGTCGATGTGGATCATCCCTGGGTTCTCTTAGCTCTGCCCTCTCCCCCCCCCCACCAAGTGATGGAGAAAACCCAAAAACCTCTCTACATCCCATTGATTGCCATGCACCCAGGGTTTCTCATCAACCCCAGACCCCCCTGAATCCTACAGGGCTCTGTGCTCCTTCCCCATCCCCATTGAGCTGCCCCACCTCTATAGTGTTTGCACTGCAGCATTGAGCTGCTGGTTGCTGGGGCTCACGGCAAGCAGACAGTTTCCTCTTGTACCTCTTTTATTGCCTTTCTTTAAGGTGTTACAAACATTTATGAAAAAAAAGAAAAAGGACCAAAAAAAAAATAAACCAAAAAAACCCTTTGGGATATTTACACTATGGGCACAGTAACAGCAGAAGGACCAAATCCTGCTCATGCTGGCTTGGGGAAATATCTTGCTGCAGAAAACATTCATCCTTGTGCTTAAATGATTGCAAAGCGAGTCCTTACAAGGAGCTACATTTCATTTCTGACTTTTCCAAAAGCTCATAGATGAAGATACAAACATTACAGACCTGATCAACCTCTGCAGTGCCACCCCTCCTCCCTCACTATTGTTCTCTTGGTTTCCCTATGGGGAGCAACACCTCTGCTGGGCACAGAGGGGGAAGGCAGCCCCGCTCCCCATCCTCCATGCCTCCCTCTGCAGAGTGATTACAGAGACCAAAAGCTTCCCTAAAATTAAAATTAGAATAGAGAAGAAGGCAGGGATTCCCTTGTTTCAATGGAAAAGCAAGCTGGGGCACAGGCCAAGCTGCTCTGATGGGGCTGAAACCTCCTCTGTAGTGCTGAGGGGCATTTCTGGTCCCCTCAAACCCACAGGAATGTTACTGTCGGCTTCAAATCATCCAGAGATGAGCTCCTAGCCACAGACCTTTAATTTTCCCCGAATAATTGCCTCTCTTTATTCATTAGTACTGGACAGCCTGAGTCAACTAATTGCACGGCTCATTCCAACCCTTCTGAGTAGTGATTTTTCACTTTCTACCCATTAAAGCCCTAGGAGCTGGCAGAGGACAGGGTTGATGCATCAGCCCCTGCTCTGCCGTTACGTTTACAAATCTGGCCCCAGCACCCCAAATCTTGAAGCCCCATTTGCAAAGCATCCCAAAGAGACACCTGTGAAGCACTGGGACAAAGGAAATAGGAGAGACGGAGTTCAGTTTTCCTCATGGAGGTAATATGGGGAGTGGGGCACATCCTCACGTCCCCCCCCGCTGCGCAATCACACTGTGCCCACTGCTGCTGTGCTTCGCCCACGGGGGAAATCAGGGATCCTGTGGGGAGAAAACTCCATGGGGCAGCCACCCCATTAAAGCTGTCACCCCCCAAACCCCATCCATCCACCGCCCACCCCACGTAGATGCAACGCTTTGCATGGAGCTCACACCCAATCATCACCTTGCCATTTTGTTGGCTTTATGAGGGCTGCTGGAATCCCTCCCCCCAGCGGGAGCAAAGCTCCATCCCATTTTCTCTGATGGAGGAGGTTTGCTGGGCAAACCATGAGGGGTAAAATTGGGTGAGGGACAGACACACTGCCCCACATGGACCTGTCCCTGCACATCAAGGCAATGCAGTGCCATCTGGGAGCACCTTCCTCCAGCTGCACCTCCTTACCTCCTCCTCTCCGTGCCCCTGGAGCAGCCCTCAGTACACGCAGGTTTTGGAGGAGCCCCTCTCCTTCTTGTTCATGGGCTCGGTGTCTGAATCCAGCGGGCTGCCGATGTAGTGGTACTTGCTGGTGGAGGACCTCTGGGGGACAGGAAACCATCAGACCCCCCCCCCCAGGCTGAAGTGAGGGTTGTGTTCCCCCATCCCAAGGGCAGATGAAGACAAAGGGTGGTCACAATAACAGGCAAACCCCCGGAAAATCAGCAATTTGGGATACCTCACACTAAAGCTGAATGCAGAAGTGAGCGCTGCAGGAGCTCTCGTCAACCAACCCCAGGTGTCACCCAGCGCCGTGCCCATATTGATACCTTGACAGGAGCAAACTCCTGCTGGATCAGCTTCTTAAACTCACTCCTGCTGAAGGACTCGGATTTCTTCCCCCTCCTGGCACTGCCGTCCATCATGTCAGTGATGGCTTTGATGAGCTTGGACATGTTGGAGTGATGCTGCTGGTCCTGGAGGGGAGAAAAGCATCAGGACACAGCAAGGGCAGTTCTGCCCTCTCCCCTCAGAATCACAGAACCACCAAGGTTGGGAAAGACCTTCATGATCATCCAGTCCAACCATACACCTCAGAGTACTCACTACAACCCTCCAGTAATGGAAGATCATTTCAGCCTCTTTAAATTTGGTTGCTGAGAAACCTCCCCTTGGTGGATGCTGAAAGCCAGGATTGCTGCCTATTGCCGCCTATTGCTGCCTATTGCTGCCTATTGCCG